GCAGGGCAGGGCAGGGCAGGGCAGGGCAGGGCAGGGCAGGGCAGGGCTGGAGAAACCACACATACTTATCCAGTTTCGGACATTGAGGAAACTTTGCTCATTTGTCAGGTCGAACAGAAGCAGGAAACCCATAGCGTCCCTGAAGAATGCAGTTGTCAAGCTACGAAACCTAGGGCACAAAAACAGACAGTTGGTCACTAATGTATGAAACATAAATAAAAAGGAAAGGAAAGGACATGACTGTTCCAAGTGTGGTGGAGGAGAAAGTTTGTTATAGATATGTAGGAAAGCATAGCCAGCAGCAGACATATCTGGGAGAGTCCACGGTGGTCATGACCCTGAATGATGTGGGTAGAGGGGGAGGGGAGGGAGAGAGCAGAACCAAGTACAGCAGCCAGGAGGCCAAAGGTGCAAAAGGAGGAACTAAAGAGGAGTGGATTATATAGGGAAGAGCTTCTGGAAGAAGGGGAGCCCAGCTCCTGGGCAGGAGAGTTCAGGGTAGAGGGTGGTGCATGCTAGCCAAATCCTGTAACAGGAAGGGACTAAGGGATGCTGGGAGACCTTGGAGGCCAAGTCTGCTTTGATATGTTAAATAGGCACCTCAGCTGTTTGTTCAGGGTTTGAAACCTAACAACTAAGTCATGGTCCCACTCCTGAACTATAAAGCTGTCACTGACACCCTCAGCTTTCTACAAAGATTCATCAAGCATTCCCATGAAGTTCTCTCAAACAGGTGTTTACCACTCCCCAGAATTCACGTGTGAACGGAATGTGTCATGGAAGACTGAGCCGACTGCATGGGAGATCTTGATCTCAGCCAAGAAATCACTGGACAACCCTGAGTTCACTGGGCCAAAACCAACAGTGTCAGCCATGTGTCTTCCCATTCTGAGAGGCTTTAGGACACAACAAGTCAATAGGCCTCACTACTGACAACCATTTCGTTACCTCTGAGGTAGGAACAGTATTGAGGCCAACATTTCCTGGTATTCTTCCTCAGGCTTTACCTGCTGTTCCTTCTCTTCTCTCCATTCCTTCTCACTTTGCCTAAATGTCCAGTCTGTAACCAGAAGGTAGGCTCCACAGAGGAAATGCCAAACAGTAGCCAGCTAGTCAGAAGTACTAGGTTTTCCTCAATTACTGTATTCAATGCTCTTACAAAAAGTCTTTACTGTTTACAGATACAAACCAAAATAGCTATGATGGCAGAATAAGGTATCTAAAATTTGCCCTCCAGGGAATATGGGAGGGAGGAAGGAGATGTTAATGGGAGATGTGAAATGAGAATGGCCACAACAAGAGAATGATTGGAACTGAGTAAGGGACACAGGTTCAGTCACAGGTTCAAATCACTTTGCTTTTATATATACACTTGGAGACTTCTATGGGTGTTTTGGTTTGGTTTAGTTTCCTTTTTTATCACTAAAAGAAAGCTGGGCGATAGCTCAGTGGTTACAAGCTTGAGAACCAGAGTTTGGATCTCTGAAACCCACATAACTATCAGGTAGGAATAGCAGACCACCTATAACTCCAGCACACAGGAGGCTGAGACAGGGATTCTCAGAACAAGCTACATAGCTGGACCAGCTGTGTGTGTGTGAGCACTGGGCTCAGGTGAGAGACCCTGCTTCAATGAATAAGGTAGAGAGCAATCACAGAAGAGACCTAATGTCAACCTTGGGCCCCCACATTACACATCACACACACACACACGCACACACACACGCACACACACACGCACACACACACACACACACACATCACACACACACACACACGCACACACTTCCAGAAGACTGTGAGGGAAATCAGAAGCTATAGCTAACTGAAAGCAACCTTGCACCAAAATATCATGTGGTTTATTTTAGTCAAGTAATCTCTGATCAGATGAATTCATCCTATCCAGATGTTCCACCAGGCCTCAGCAACAGATAAGAACAAAGCAAGCAGCCTTGAGACTCCCTTACAGGTGAGCAGACAGCAGAAGGCAATGGGCCTAGAGCCTGAAACGGGAGAAAGAAGAATGAGTCCCAAGTACAAAGGGTTAATTTTAAGAAATTTACAACTTCTTTGACCTTAGAGAAAATATGTCTGTCCCCATCACCTTAGGCTGCCAGCACACTGATCTGACAGCTCATCTTACCAGGTGCAGATGAGCCAGCTGGCTGCCTCTGCCTGCCCAGGTCGGGTAAGGTAGACAGACTTAGGAGACAAACTGTTAGCAATCTGTTAAACTCCACCTCCAGTGTCACCTGGCAACAGCCAGGTATGCTCCGCCCCACAGTTACCTGGCAACAGGCAGGTAACCCTGCCCACTATAAAAGGGGCTGCTTGGCCCCTCCTCTCTCTCTTGGCTTCTCAACCCAGCACCTGCAGGTTGTCCTCTCCCCTCCCCACTTCTCTTCCCCCCCTCTCTCCACGTGGTCATGGCCGGCCTCTACTCCTCTCTACTTCTCTCTCTCTACTCTTGCTCTCCCACTCTCTTAATAAACCTCCCCTCGTGGAACCATCTTGGCCTGCTGTGATCTGTCCCAAGCTGCGCCATGGAAATCCTTTCACATACCTCTCCTGCCCTGCTGTGTCCCATAACTGCAGGTGGATCCTCTGGCCTCGGCCCACAGCTCCATCTGGTCCATTAGCTCTGTACACCTAAAACAGCAAAGCAAAGACAAACCTAGGGAAATTCTGAGACAAGTGGGCTCTTCTTGACTTTCTATTCAGCACAAAACCCCAAAGCATTTAGACTTCTCAAGCAAATTGAGTTCCTAATACAACCAGGTTTACACTCTGGTACAAAAATCAAACTTGAACAATGGCACCTCCTACTGAGACCTAGCTGGGGTGTAGTTCAGTTGGTAGTCTTCCCTAGAATCCAGGAAGCTCCAGGCTCCATCCCCAGCACTGTAAAAGCAGGCATGGTTGTGCATGCCTGCAATCCCAGCACTTTGGAGGTGCAACACAGAAGATAAAAAGCTCACTCTCAGCTATAATCAAAATGACTTTGAGGCCATACAAGAATGTATGAGTCCCTATCTCCAAAACACCAAAATTAATCAAATTATTTATTTTATTTCAAAAGACACTGACTGGGGGGCCATAAAGGAATGATTTGGTCTCCCCGGTAGAGCACTGGGTTTGAGATAGCCGGAGACCCAACAGGTGAACCATAGCCTGGGTAGGGACGGCATGTATCTCCCCATGCCCCCGGATTCCAGACTCCCACAGGCAGCCTACATCTCCATTAACCTGCATCTTGCAAACGCATTTGGCTCAGAGTAGCTCCTCCCAGAGAGATTTGCATCACCATCGAGGTAGAGGGCGTGACTAACAGAGATGTCCATATTCATGAGTTACCTAAGGGGGGGGGAATAGCTAATTAAGTTATTCCTTTTCCCAGCCCCTCTTCCCCCTCCCCTATTTAAGCCAGCTCTCCCCTGGCTGAACTGGGGGGTGCGCACATTCAGACCCAACTACCACATCATGAACAATAAATTTTTTAAACCCATGGACTCCACGTGTCTTCTGGGGCCTGCCACTGCCAAAGCTTCCAGCCTCTGAAACCTTGGACTTTTTCGCGTATGTGGGACCCACCGGCATGTAAAACCTCCGGGACTGTGCTGCGCGTGATTTTTCCCACAACTGACTTTCTGTGGCTTTTCCTTATCTTATCATCTTTAGAAAGTGCTCTGGAAATGATTTTATAGCGAGACCAGGGAGATGACTCAGCATGAGTTCAATGGCAGCCTGAGTTCAATCCCTAGGACCCACATAGTGGAGAGAACCAACTCCCACAAATTATATTCTGACTACTATAAATGAACCATGGCACATGTGCACACACATATACAACAAATAAATAAATACAAAACCTAATGGCTTTATACATGGCCACTTCTGTCCCAGCCCTCAGGAGGAGGGACACACCAGGGCTAAAAGCAGCCTCCAGGCCAGAAGAGCTACACAGTGAGACCCTAACTTAGAGAGAGGGTGTTAGTATTCTTTCTAAACTCCACCTCCACAGTTACCCAGCAACTACCAGGTATGCTCCTCCCCACAGTTACCTGGCAACAGGCAGGTAGGACTGCCCACTATAAAAGGGGCTGCTTACCCTCTTTCCCTTCCCCCCCCCCTTGTTCTCTTGCCTCTAGCTTCTCTCTGTCCCTTCCCCCCTCCCCCTTGCCTTCCCCCTCTCTCCACGTGGTCATGGCCGGCCTCCACCTCTCTTCTCTCTCTTCTTCCATCTTCTTCCTCTACTTTTCCCTGTGACCTCATGGACTAAGGATTCCTTCAATCTTTGTGGCCTGTGGTTTTGTATATCAGCCTGTAATTCTGACCAGTATACCTTGGTTTCTTACTAAGAGAAAAAATAAGAGGTTTGGTTTTTTCAGAAGCCCTTGAAGCAATGTAACTTCAGAAGCCACTAGTCATGCATGGCCACTTATTGTAAAGACCCTAAAGAGTGGCTTCCTCTATCTGTGTCTCTAAGTCACTATTCTTTCCTCAGCACTAATCTTTTCTCCTTCTGGGTGCTCATGCTTAAATCTATGTCCAAACCTTTACCTAATAAACTCTGGCTACGTTTCAGAAAAACAATGAAAATGAAATTTATGCCACATGAAAACTGAATATTTGCAGAAGATTCATTTTCTTTTTTTGTTGTTGTTTTGTTTTTTCGAGACAGGGTTTCTCTATGTAGCCCTGGCTGTCCTGGAACTCACTCTGTAGACCAGGCTAGCCTTGAACTCAGAAATCTGCCTGCCTCTGCCTCCCAAGTGCTGGGATTAAAGGTGCACACCACCACTGCCCAAGAAGAATCATTTTCATAGCTAAAAAAGAAACCATGAAAATCTCCATCAGCACCAAACAGATACGTTTGGCATGTTATCACAGTGGAATATTATTCTGCTGTAAATCGATGCATTAGAGAGGGGATTAGAGAGATGGCTCAGTGCTTGAGAGCACTCTGGCTCTTTTTGGAAAGGATGTGAGTTCAGTTCCCAATGCCCACAACAGGCAGTTCATAATGTAACCATAGCTCCAGCTCCAATGCCTTCTTCTGGCTTCTGCAGGTACACCAATCCACCCTATTCTCACAAAAACGTAATAAAAATAAAATAAATATATTTTAAAATTGATTCTGTCTGATACTTGCTACAATATAGATGAACCTCAAGACATGCTAAGTCGAAGAAGACAGACACAAAAGGCCTTGTATACAGCAGATATACAATTAGGCAACTCGGGATTTTCACAGTAGTTGGAAGGAGGAGGAATAGACAATGGTGTTATTGGAATTTATTTTTGTGATAATAAAAATGTTCATGCTAGACATGGTGGTGAAGACCTTTAATTCCAACACTTAGATCTCTGTGAGTTCAAGACCACCCTGGTCTACACACAAGTTTCAGGCCAGTCAGAGCTACATGGTAAGACCTTGTCTCAAAAGAAAAAACAGTTCTAAAACTAAACAGTTGCTTATACCCCAGGACTTGGGAGGTGAGACAGGGGATAAGTTCAAAGCAGTCTAAGCTGCAGGAGACCCTATCTCTAAAAACTAAATGAGTCAAGCTAGAGAGTACCTCAGTGATTAAGAGCACTGGCTGCTCCTAGAGAGGACCTAGGTTCAGTTCCCAGTACCTATGGCTCACAACCATTTATAACTCCAGATCCAAGGAATGTGATACCTTCTTCTAGCTTTTGTGGATTCCAGGCACATATGTGGTACACGTATATATTGTACATGCACTCATACACATAAAACAAGAATAAGTCAATCTGAAACCTAAGTAAATCAACAAAGAAGCATGCAAGCAATTATCTGTGATGGTGACATCATGTGAATATACTACCATGGATATGCTAGAAAAAAATCTGAACTTCTACACTTTAAATGGATGGATTTTACTTGTTGAAAATTACACATCAAGAAATCTGCTTTAGACCAAACGGAAGAGCTGGAGTTGCCCCTCCATGACAGAACGTCCAGCATGCACAAAGCCCCAACTTCAACCCTCAGAACTCCATGCACGAAACAAACTGGGTCACAAGGCAAGAGGTAACTAGCAAAAGAATCATATGCACACAGTCAGCCCCGGTGTGTGACACCAAAGCCTATAAACATTTCCAAATCACTGCTGATTGAGGTTATTGCTACAAACACTTTCAAAATCACTGTGGGTTGAAGTTATTGCAACTGCATTGTTCAGAATAATGGCAAGAGAAAGTCTGCGCATTGGCCAGGGAACAGGAAAGAAGAGAGAGAGGAGGGAGAGACAGAGACTCAGACAAACACACAGAGAGAAACTAGAAAGTGTACATGGGGCTAGTGACTCACATCTATCATCCTAGACTTAACTACACAGCACACAGCACACACTGGGTGGCTCCGCGTGGTTGAATCCAGAAACAGAAAACTGACTATGTAATGACTCCATCAGTCATGTGACCATAAGCATCTCTTAGGACACTCATCTCTCAGTGAGTCTAAGTCTGTCAGATTCTCTGGTTGCTGGGTATGATGGCACATGCTTGTAACTCTGAGTCTGAGGCAGGAGGAATGAGAGTTCAAGGTCAGCCTGGGTTACACAGAAAGACCCTAAAGTGATAAAATAAGGCTGGCAGTAGAAAGGACCTATCATGGGTTAAAGGGACTGACTAGTTCTGTAGGAAGCCGCGGCTTGTGCTGGCAGAATCCGCCATTGTAAGATGGCGCTGGCATCCGGTGCTCCTCCTAGTAAATAAGTAAACTGTGCATGTGCTATGGTAAAAGCGCGCCAAAGTCAAGGCCCATCCCAGGGCGTTTTGGCAGGCAACGAGTAAGCAGCCAATCAGAAATGAACACACTGCTCTAAGGGTATATAAGCAGTGCCTTTTCCGGGCCTGGGGTCTTCCTCCATTTTCTTTTGGAATAAACGTTTGCTGCGGAAGGATCCTAGTGTGGTGTCCGCGTGCGTTCTTACTGGCGAGACAATTACACGCGGGCCACATAGTTCTGTCTTAGAAGCTGGGGACTGTGTAGCTTCCCTGACAGAATACACATGCGGAAGTCTCTTTGGCCTTACAAAACCTACCAATAGCATCATAACTGGGTATTTTAAACAACACCATTCATTGTGTTATGACCTCCTGTCTTTCTCTCCCCGCATAAGAAGACCCTGCACTCCTAGGGTCGTCTTAAACACAAATACCTATACACACACACATATACACACACACACACACTTTCCTACCACCATTCTGCAGCACACTGCATCACTGGTAGCATCCCACACTCCCATCCCACCCTTGTTCTCCTGGCACACAGTATTTGTTGTGGAGCTACAGGCTTCAGTTAAGAGAGCTGTGGTTAAAGAGGAGATGATGCCAATGTAAAAGAGAATTGCAAGGCACAGTCCCACCAACAGGAACAGAAAGAGCAGGATGGCTGACAGACTTTACAACAAAGGTAGACAGATCACTCTGTGGTATTCAGAAAGAAAGATATAAGCCAGGAGGGAAGCAAGGGGAGACACTAATAGAAATGTAGAATGTTCACTGCAGGAGCTCGAGACATGGCTCAGTGATTAAGAGCATACACTGCTCTTGCAGAGGACCCAAGTTTGATTCCCAGCACCTACATTAAGTGGCTCACAAACATCTGTAACTCCAGCTCCAGGGGATCTAACACCTCTGGCTTCCATAGGTGTACACACACACACACAATCACACACACAGGGCTTGGGGAGAGCAACACAGTTACAGGGACACACACACACACATACATGATTAAAAATAAGTTTTTGTAAAAAAAAAATAAGTTTTTGGGTTTTTTTGGTTTGTTTTTTGTTTTGTTTTGTTTTTGTTTTTGTTTTTGTTTTTGTTTTTTCGAGACAGGGTTTCTCTGTGTAGTCCTGGCTGTCCTGGAACTCACTCTGTAGACCAGGCTGGCCTCGGACTCAGAAATCCACCTGCCTCTCCCTCCCAAGTGCTGGGATTAAAGGTGTGTGCCACCACCACCCGGCCTAAAAATAAGTTTTTTAAAAGAAAAAAGTAATATGGACTTTAGTTGTGTCCAAAGGGTTTTATGTGAAGTGTCCTGAGCACAGGACACTTTGTTTGTGTGTTTGTTTGTTTGTTTGCTGTACAGACCTGGCTGCTCTCTAACTCAGAGATCTGCCTTCCTCCGCCTCCAGCATGCTGGGATTAAAGGTGGGGTGGACACACCTAGCCACACTTTCCTATGTACTGTAATTTTAGGTCACAATCTTTGGCTTCTCAAACCCTGTTAATTTGTTGACTCAGATTAGATTGTTATGAAGGGTGCAGAACTTACCACTCTCTTTTCCCTGAAATCAATGCCCACTGTGGTGATGAATTTGGAGTTGAACTTCCCATCAGTATACTGGTAAAGTACACTGGTCTTCCCTACTCCAGAGTCTCCCAAGGCCAAAAACTTGATGAGGTAATCATAATCTCCATCCGACATGATGGAGGATTCTGTGCTTCACCTGTAAGACACAAAGAAATAGGGTTATTAAAGTTCACCAGAAATACTAGAATTAGAACTGGTGGGATGGCTCAGTGGATGAAGCACCCACCACGCAAGGCTGACAACCTGAGTTATCTGGAGCCCATGTGAAGGCAGAGGGAGGGAATCCACAAGATTGTCTGCTGATACATTCATATCATAGCATGTGAGCATACACGAACACCTGTGCATTCTCTCTCTCTCTCTCTTTTTCTCTCTTTCTCTCTCTCACACATACACACACACACCCGTTCTCTCTCTCACACACACACACAAACACACACTTTCACACTTTTAATTAAGAAAATAT